GTGAGAGAAGCAAGACGTCTGCGTAACTTGCAGGTGTGAATCCGATTCGGTATTATATAACAGTACGCGTCCTTCCCTTCTTCGGAATCTGCATTCAACGGCGATCGAAACGGAGTTCGCGGCGCGCGAACGCTGGAGCTTTTCTCGGTTGATTACGCGATGTCGGCTCGATCAGATCCGAATAAATTGTATCTCGCGAAAAACGATTGAGAGATTAACGTGTTTGCGGCGATGAGTGACGCATTTTGTTTTTTTTTTTTCTTTCATAACACATTAAATATGTCAGATCTTTTTTTAGCGAGATCCGATGAAAACAAGAAAGAGAGAGAGAGAGAGAGAGAGAGAGAGAGAGAGAGAGAAAGAGAGAGAGATTAGAAATGTTCATATCATATACAGCAACAGGTAAATATTTTCGTATGCAAAGTATGTAAAACTATTTCTATTTACTCCGACTCATAAAACATTACAAATGAAATAACGAGAAGAGAGCAATTAAGAAAATTAAATTAGTCTCCGTCACACCGATTGAATAGCTTCGAGATATTCGATCGTTTTATCATTGCGAGCTGACACGATATTTCGACAGTAAGTGTGCCAGTCGTTCGCGTGTGTCCGATCGGTCGTGCTCGAGTAGGTTTAAAGGATGATCGATGATGCAATGTTGACTTAAGCGATGGAAAATGTTTGCGATCACTTTTACGGATATGATAGCACAAAGTGAAAAGATACAGGTATCGATCTGTGACACCGACAATCGCCCACCGTCACTAATCGCGCGAATACGTAAAATAAGTATACACATGCGACAATAATGATTTCGCTAAGTGTTTTGCTTTCGTTAGGGTTTTTTTTCGCACATGCATAAATTTCTCGTCTAGAACACAACGAGCTTACTCGCTCGTTCGTGAGAGCGAAACTTTGCCGATACATGAAGTAAAACAAGTCCGCGAAACTCCCCGAAATGTGTGCCGAAGGTATCGCCGCGAAACGGAGAAACTAAGAGCGGATAATGAGGTAATTGTGTTTCGGTGGTGAATTGACCGAAAAAATATTAAAAAAAAAAAAAAAAAAAAAAAAAAACACTTCCACGCGACTGGATGCAAGACCGGTGTAAATTAACGTGGCGACATAATTGGTGACAAAAACCAAAGTGGCGAGGCCTGATACGTGCCACGAAAGACAGGTAGACGGATTGCGGCAGACCGTGCTGGGAAAATATGAGATTGGCAGGGCCACGGCGCAAACGACATAGTTATTATCCGTTAAAAAAAATGTCCCTGTTTCCGTTTGAGAGATTCCGCCTAGACAATACCAAGCTTGTGAACAATAACCGCGCTCTGAAGTCGATAAAGTTTTCCGCCAGCGAATTTTTTTTTTTTTTTTTTTTTTAACGTGAATCTCGCTTTCGCGAACTTATTCATATTTATCATCTGTGAGACTGTGTGCGTGTGCATCGGCTGTCTTTCGGAGGAAAAAAAGGGGAAAAAAACGTGATAATAAATTATTATATATTAGGTCTACCGGAAAGTTCTGTCCGTTTTTGGAATAAAACAAAGTACAAATTTTTCTTACCGTCAATAAACTGTATTAAATAATATAATTGCCATTATTATCAATGATTTCTTGCCAGCGTGAGGGCAATTTGTATATCCCATTTTTGAAAAATTAAAAAAAATTTGTATTTTGTTTTATTCCAAAAACGGACAGAACTTTCCGGTAGACCTAATATATATATTTTTTTTTTTTTCGGAGTTTGGAGAAAACACAGATCTAATCAGAAATAAGATCTCACCTATCGTTATTGTTGCGTCTTTATTGTTGTTCTATACTTTATCATATTTACGTTGTAACATGGTTCATACACAAATCAAATTTTTGATTTCACTAAATTACAACAGAGTCACTGACTCATGTCAGAAAAATTGAAAAATATTGATAAAATAATGTTGTTTCTGATAAAAACTCAGTCTCAATGAACGTTGTGAACTACACGCTTTCTTTAACAATTTCTAATTCCGTCGCATTGTGCGGTGAAAAATAAAAGACGCCGGGAAAAAAGCGCACATTGAACGAAACCCACGTAACGCGTCTCTCTGGCGTAATAAGCCGAGCGTAAACCGAGTCTCGAGAAGACGAAGGAAGGTAAAAAACAAATTTTTTTCTTCTAAGCGTATAATAATTCAAGTTCAGTACCACACGGTCGGGATATGCGTTGTTGTGTAACCGTTTTTTTTTTTTTTTTAAAAAAAAAAAAAAAAAAAAAAAAAAAAAAAAAAAAAAAAACAACGAGCAGCCGCTCCTCTCGCGCGAGACCAATGTGGTCATCAATGGCGCGGGAATGACGAATCGGAGAGAAAAAGCGATCTCCAGTCAAGGTCGCCTATCGAAAGGTGCCTTTGCGTTCGCCATTTCGCATTCATCTTGTCATTATCTCTCAGACGAGGGATCGTAAAGGCGCGTTCTTATACCAACGGAGACCGCGGAGATCCGTACAGAGTGTGCACCAACGCGCGTACGCGCGCGCGTAAACGCAAATATGCAAAACAAACATCACCGTTCGCGACTCCGAAAGGTAAATTAACAGTTAAAATTCCGGGTTTTCTGCGGTTTTTTGTTGCACATATATAGTTCCACATCGTTGTCTACATATATACGTACGTTATTCGTTTTTCAGCACAACAAAGCACGTAATCGCGTCGCGTGAGTTTAATTGATGTAACCGGCAGCTGAGGCAAATATTTTCTTTGTTTTCTTTTGTGAATCACAAATGAATTTTCATAGATTCATTCGTGACTCACAAAAGTTTCAGTTTTGAGAAAATTGTGTGAGATTTAATCACCGACTCCGTCAATTAAAATCGTCTTTAGCAAAACTAGAGAGACACGTTCTCAAGTGCGAAAGTAAGATTTCGTAGAGAGAGTTCAACTGCTGCAATAATAATAAAATACGCTTTTATCTTTGTGATAATATTTTAATAATTTAATATGTTAATTTATGTTTCGCACAATTTAACTTTTGTGACTCTCGTGCTTGTTTTTTAAATATTACCTTGTCTGTAGTTTAGTATAATAAAAACAAAATAACAAAACCACTTTTTTCAACTTGATGTCTTGTTTACACATGCAAATTGGAAAAAAGTTTTCTGCGACGAGTGGAATTTCTTGATTTTACATTTGATAACACACACACATCGAATTGGTCAATCAAGCGTTTGGCGCAAATTTTGTTTTGAGAAAGCATTGTTTTATGTTAATCAATTAGTTCGATACGAAGTCATTCACATTTCATTTCACGAATAAATTTGACCGGCCAGTTTTTGAAACTAACTTATGCATTGAGGAATCTAGTCACACCTGAGATTTACGACCGCGTCACTTAACGTGCGGCCGCAACCATTTAACGACTGTTATTCTCGCCTTTGAATATATATTCCGTCATCACCTTGCTTAAAATCATTGAACACACTTACCGAGGATCGATACGCGGTGCGCCAAAGTTGCACAACATTTACTTGGAGAGAAAACGGGTTTTTTCGTAACAGAAATCTCTCAATTTTTTTTGCGATAATTGAGTTGAGCAAGTGTAGTTTTTCTCTTATTAATTACAATTGGTTGTTTATTTCGATCTATTTGACGCTCGGAATTTTCTCGAAGTTTTTCATAAAAATAATCAAACGGCGAGAGAAGCAGAAGCGGATTACGCGAGATTGTTGCAATTAATCAACGCGATAACGCGCGATTCTGCAATCTACGATATCATCGTACGATGTAACACTTCTACAATAATTCGCATCGATATCAATCGATCGACACCCGATAAAAATTCAACGATCGATTGAATGTCAATTAACGTCAATTAGCCGTATTATTTTTTTTTTCGCGACTATAAGTTGTCGTTGATATACGGGGAACGTTTTAATTAATAACAAAACATTTTATTTGTTTGTTGTTTTTCCTTTGAAGAAAAGTTGTTTTCGAACGAATCGATCGAAGGATTTTTGTCAGTCTGTCGAAAAAAATGCTGAAGCACGTGGCGTTATCGTTATACTATCATCAATGACTGTATTGAGAATTCTCTATTATCGCGCCGCGATGTCATTAAACGTAGAATATTGCGAGAGATAACGAGATATCTAATGTACATACTCAGTATTAATTGGATATTCGTGAACTTCGTCTTATCAGTTGCAATATTGACTTTCACGTTTTCAAAACAAACAAGGCTTCAAACGCGCTCGTGCAGTCCGCGGTCTTTCTCTTTCTCCCTCCCTCTCTCTCTCTCTCTCTCTTTCGACTGTGATAAATTTAAATTATTTATCGTTACACCGCCTAGAGTATAAGATTTTGCACGGAAATAGCCGAGAGGTGAGAACAAAATATTTTCTTCACACCACAAATGCGCTTTATTCTCAGCGCGAATATTTTATCATGTAAAAAAAAAATATAAAAAGATGTACATAATTAACATTTCATTGTGAAAATACAACGCGTTTACATCGAAGCTTAAACGCAACGTTTGAAATTTGCACAGTTATCGGTCATCGTGAGCGAGAGAAAAATAGTTGAAGGAAAAAAATCGCACCTTTCTTTAGTCGCATTCTCGCCGCATCGAGCCTCTTCTTTCACGGTTCGTAACGCGTTCGTTCTCTTTCTCAGGACACTTCGTCTTCTTCGTGTGTTCGCGATAAGACGCTTATTAAGACACGCTCTTCGCCGGCGTGCGAAGTCTCGGGATTGGCCAAACGGCGCGGTTAAATAAAGTTGCAATTAAGAGAGCTAAAAGCTATGCGGCCGACTGTGTCTTCTCAAGGCCTCGGGCCTCGCCAGAGCGTACTTCCGCTACTGATTAGCTTCCTCTTTTCCCACATTGTCCTCGCCGAGCTCTGCTTCCATCTCTCTCTCTTTCTCTCTCTCTCTCTCTCTCTCTCTCTCTCTTCCTCTCTCCCTCTCCGCCGTAGGTTCTGTGCTCACGTGTTCTCCTCCTTCCCTCCTTCCGTCCTT